GTTGGTCCTGTGACAAAATTTTTTTTTTACTCCATCTACCTCTGTTCACGAGATGTCGCCACAACAGTATTGAATTCTAAAATTCTAAGTTATTCGAAGAGACTCAGCGTGATATGTTTCTACCGAAATTTTAACGTGAGAAATTCACGTGTGGCCACTACACACTTTACGACTTTCACCTGCGACCACGTGCGAAAAATATGACGCGAAAAGTTTTCGTGAAGAGTTCACGCGTTGTCACAAGTGGAATATGTTTTTCATGCGTGCCCACACACCATTTTACGACGTTCACCTGCGACCTCAGTTCATTTCACGATATTCACGCGTGTACGCGCCGCTTCATATACTAAAATTTCCTCATGAGTTTTGATTAAATGGCATAGCAAAATCCCATTCTCCATATTTGCAACTTCTCCTGAGGGTCCTATAAAAAAATTTGAACCCACCCTAGATTCAAAACGTTCCGCCGCCTATGATCATAGAAGAAGCTTAAATTTAAAGAAATCTATTCTTCTGATTCAGTTATTAAAAAAGGACAAAAGCTGCAATCAGTTTTATAAAAAAGCTTAAGTCGGACTTAAGTCAAAAATTGAAGTTAAGTCATAAAAGACAAAGAACTTTTTGGGCTTAAGTTTGACTTAAGTCAATTTTTTGAATCTGATTTTATTTGTGTAGAGACCTGAGATGGCACGTGTTAGTTCAACATTCACAACTCAAGATGATAGTCGAATTGTGTACATATAACTTTTTCTCTACGTATTATTCACTTCTCGTTCGTCTTACGTTCAATTTCACTTTATTTCGTAGAAAAACAAAGAAAACTACTCATCCTGATGGGGACTATCGCTGCAGAAACTATGTTATCTCTATTTTTTGGTAATATCGCTAACAAGTATTGTTCTTGCTTTTATATTTGTAAGAAAATTTAAAAATTAGCGTTTTGTCTATACATTTTTTTACTAATTTTTTTCGAGTAATTTAAATTTTATTAAAACTTATTAATGGTCTACTAGCTAATCATCAAACCTGTTAGTTTGCTTAATGTAAAATATAACTACTTTTAAAACAATTGCAAGTGAATCATCATCTAGACTATTGAGGAGTAAAACCTTGTACTATTTTTGCAAAAACTGATCAACGAAGTATTCTAAAATGATCTTTTATTGTGATCCAACCTCCAATATTAAATAATTTGATAATAATAGACAATGTTTAACACAGACCTTTGTTGGTGAACACTTAAATAACGAAGTTATATACATCACTTGACATTGATAACGCTCTACGTGTACTCAATAATTTTGTTAATGATTTATTCTCATCAACATTAATTTCAAGCAAAGCACCTTCAATCAACATGGTGGTGCGATTCATGTATCCGTTCATGTTGTCCTCGTTTAGAAGACGTTGTGAAATTATTAGCAAATTTACAAAAATTAATTGTGAAAGAGAGATGGCGGCTTTGTAAGGCTTAAGATAGGAGAAATCTGATGCAGTGGTGCACACTCATGTGGTAAACAGATGTTTGCTTTTGTAGATACTGCCTCCTAAAAGTACCACTTTCTGAACTAATGTAACTGCCTTGTAGGACTTTCGGAAAACGTTCTGAAAATTCTGAACTCTAACGTACTGCATAGCGATAGGGTCATCCGTTTAACTGCAGAAATATGAAAACGTTTCTTTTACTTAGTTAAACAAATTCTTTTTCGATAAACCACCAGTTTTCCAGCCGAATAAAAGTTTATTTCCCGATCGACCAGTGACTTTTTTTTTATTCAGTCGATCAACCAGCGGGTCATAAATTTTTGACCGAACTGCACAGGTGTTGAGAGGATCGGCCGGTTGCTGGTATCTGTTACCTCTGTTTCGGACACAGTCGGAACGATTATCGACATTAGATCTATCATTTTATCATCTGGTCATCATATATTCAATCCTATTCATCCAAACATCACAAATAAGAATGTTAAATTTTTCCTATATCAAAAAATTAATATTAGTCGAATTTTTCATATTCATACGTTTGTTATACTATATAATCACTAGAGATAAACTATGATTAAATAACAAATGAGACGCGGAATATCTCACAATCAAGTGTATGTGTAAATAACCACACAAAAAGTATAATTATAACAACGAGAACTTTTTCATATATTTGTTTATATGCAGAAGTAACATCTCTATGTACAGGTTTTTGATGATGAACCTATATGGTTCCAAAGCTCAAAACTTAAGATATAGAATAAGTATTGAGAATTATGTATAGTTTGAACTTAAAAAAAGTTACTCAACAGCATTCACTAAGCTGTGCATATTAAAACTTTCTGAAAACTAATCATTACTGACAGTGAAAGAGTGCAGTTTAGTCCAGCCTATGGAGAGCCGCTTGAATCATATGATGATTAAGCTAATATAAAATGTTTTCTCATCATCAAAGTTAATTCTAATTTATTGATGATAAAAATTATCTGTCGGCTTGTTGTTCGTACGATTTGAGTTTGATTTGTTTAGAGGTTCACTTTAATATAAAAATTTTCATCGGATATGATAATTGTTCACCTTTTAATTATCCAACACATTCGATGTTAAAATTTAACTCTGCTTTGCTTGGAAAAGATATATTAATGAAATCTGATACTCATCGAGTAATGTTCATTAAATTTGAAGAATTAAATGATTATTTTTTGCATGATTGTTAGTTCTAATACCCGTTGCCGCACTTCTGGTATTATCAATGATATTGACATCGTATCATTCGTGTTTAATCAGTAATCTAACTATATCCGTTTTTTTATTTTCCATTTCTTAATGGATGTTGTTATTGTTGATTATCGATACTGAACAATTTTATGATAAATTGTTTTTTGACAATTTTTATCAAGTTGTAAAATAACCGGTGTTTTTGTTTTTGTATACATTCTGTAGTGTATCATCAACATTTGCATTAATATTATTAACAATTTAGATATTTTACATAATATTATTTTTGTTTAAACGATAATTAATATAGTCTTGCAGTGTCATAATTTGTTTAATATTTTTTTTAGTGATTATGCAGTTTTACTATTGCATTATTGCCATTATCTGGTATGATTACATTTTAGTATAATACAATATGTGTACTATTTCGTTTAGTAACATCATTTGATCGATATTTTATTTTAACATTGATAACATTTAGTGTTTGATCAACAGTAAACATTATCTATTGTTACAGTTTAATCTGTTAACCATGAGTCATTCTCATATTCGAATATCTGATGATTCAAAAGGTATAGTAAAAACTCTAATATTAATATTAGTACATCATAGCTTGATACAACTTGATAGCCATTATTGTAATGACTAACAAGTTATGCGAAAATAATTAAAAGGTGACATGGCAGAATATAGAGCACAAACAAAAACATAAATCGTTCTTGATCAACATTATTTTTCATTGCTAACTTAAAAGTTTAATCTCATCTATTTATTTTATGATACAAACTGTTTGTAAGCAAACAAATATCGCGCAAATATCATAAATTTATCGGCATATGAAGAATTTTCTTTCAGGAACTGGATTTATACTATAATCAGATTTATGAATAAAAGATCATAAAATTCAAATTATTGATCTTCTTCGTATTACAGTATATCAACAGAACGCGAACATAAGTAGTCGTCATGTAGGAATAACATTAGACATTCGTTAGAGCTCAAAAAACCTTACTTTATTATACTATCTGCAGTAACAGACATCAACGGCATGGGTGAAAACGGTTTTCTATCACTTTTTCAAATTAGTTATAATTTTTGACGATGAAACACTACAGTTTGTGATAAACCATCGCATCGCATCGTACATACAATATACTAATAAAAATATCGGTTTTTTTTTGAGTTTTTTCACGATTGTAAATATCAATTTTTGTGTGTAATAATAATAATTGTTAGTTTAAAATTCATTTATTTTTCCCAATGATAAAAATTCTTCACGTGTTTTTGGATCTTTTCTGAATACGCCTAACATTGAACTTGTTGTTGTTTTTGCGTTTATTTTTTCAGCACCTCTCATTACCATACACATATGTCTAGTGGTAAAAAACTGACTTCACTGTCAGTAAAACAAATTTCTCTATTCACTTACATACACTCAATAATGACACCAACACCACGAGGTTCAATTACCTCGCTAATTGCCTAAATTTGACATAAAATAAAAAATAAAGAATTTTATTTTGATTTTTCTATCTGATGATAAATATACCTCGGCGATTTGTCGAGTAAGACGTTCTTGTACTAAAATGAAATACATTTTCTATTATATACTTTTTCTTTCAAATTAGAATATTATCTGATATTATTACCTTGTAATCGATGACTGAATACTTCAACGATACTAAAAATACAAAATCATTGATGGACAATTTGATATAAAATTTCAAGTACGTTATTCTTACCGTACTATTGTACTCAAACCTATAACACGCTTATTTGGCAAATATCCAATCGATACCTAAATGATGAAATAAGAAGTCTAATTATAGAACATCATTTTCAATATTTTATATACTTTTCCAAAAAATGGTACCCTAAAAGAAGATTAATGATTATTAACAACAAATTGCATCTGAAATATTATAGACACTTACATGTGATGTTCACAAAGTGAATAAATATCAATATCTTTAACAATAACCATATCGTCACATTCTTCATCAAATATAGCACCACTAACAACGTCTACAAAAAGAGTAGTGATGATGGTATATTTCTAGAAAAATTTTCTAGCTTATCCATACCACTAATACGTTGTTCATAACCTTTAGTAAAACATAGCATAACCTCTGCAGCACATTTACTTGTCTTCAATAAACCTTAAAAATGAAAGAGGTATCAAAGTAAATCTATCAGTTGTTGTGCATCGTTTCTATATTGCCATTAACATACTTTTGTGGGTATGAAAGAGTTTCCTCAGGTATACAGTGGTCAGTGAATATGTGAGTAGGAGTGAAAGTTCGTTGACCTAGTAAAAGTTCTATGAATTTCCGGACAGGATCCGAGATATATCCTGCCAGTGTCCTACCAGGATTTTACTTTGATGTCTTAGGATCCTAACAAAATGCTGCAGAATCCTAATGAAATCAGGTATACCCGAAAGTCATAGGCTTTTCTAAGATTCTGTTAGGATCCTAAACAAATGTAAGCGAAATGCTAGTAGGATCCTGCCAGGAAGTTATTATTTAGGATCCTGTAAGGTCCTAGTAGGAAGTAGACAGGAAGTGTGTAGGATGTTATCTAGAGTTATTTCCATACCTTTACTGGTCGAATTCTCACCAATACTTTCAATAATTCTTTGATAGCTTTTTGTAAACTCGTTAATTCGTTTATCTTTAGCTAATTTTGCATCATCTTCTCGAAGAGCTTAATTAAACAAAATATGTATGCTACATCAGACAGTAAAGATGACGAGCCAATTTTAGAGGTAGAATAGATAAATGACTGAAAATCGAATTTAAATCAATAATCTAGTCTTTTTATTGTATGATGCGATAATTTTCCTTATTTTCTGATATTTTTTTCAAATTCAGCAGGATGAAGATAAAAATAGATCCAAATATTTCGTGAATTAAAATTTTCTTGAGCAAAGTGCTGATTTACAACAAATCTCGTTTACTTTCTACGACACTGTTACCTGAAATGCAGACTTCATCGCAGTCAATAACACTGGAATGACAGAAACCTAACTGGGGATATTTGGATTAAGAAATAAATAAAGTAAGAACAGGAGTATGGACGTTTTAAACTCCTTTCCAATATTTGTACTGGTATGTGTATCTTGTCACTTTAGGTGTTGAAGATACAATACAACACATTTTGATGATAAAATACAATATATAAGGCGCGCATAAGTTGAAATTCGAGATTAAAAACTGAGTCGATTAATGTGTATTTCCATCCTATCTGACCGACTACTTTAGTTTTTCTCAAATTTTCACGTTGAAAATTATCGAGATTGACCAAAAATGAAAATCAAGTAATAGTTTCGAAATACACACTAGCCGACTTAGTTTTTGATCCAATTTCGAATATTATATCTTTATTGCATAAAAGTTGAGTTCTAATGGAGAAAATTGAGAATTACGAGCAGAATTCTGACTTTTTCGCCTCTGATTTATAAAAAAACAATTTTTTCAGCAACGGAAAGGAATTCCAAAAAAAGCTCTTCGTACTTTTTTTACCCGTGTAAAGACAAATCGAATGCAGTGTAAATCAGAGCTGTATCCCTTAACAGAAAAACCTAGATAGGTTTGCAGAATTTGTTGTCACCCTTTAAGGTGTCCATAATTATGAATTATTTATTCGCCATATGATATTGGATTAAGCTCTAAATGATATTTCTAGAGTCAATTTCATACGCGGAATCAGGAAAAATAAGTTAGAGAACTTTAAAATGAAACAGAACAAAACTTTTTGATATTTTTCTTAGTAGTACAGATTTTCGAAACTTAAGATCCTTCTAGTATTTTCAAATTTTTTCTATCAAAGATCGTTTTTTTAAACCTGGAGTTATTCTTAATCAGCGCATCAAACTCTATCGAATGATGTATGCATAAGACGAAAATAAAACAGTACTCGAATTACGCGCGCCTTTCAAACAACCGAATGGTAACAAAAATGATCATTTGTCCTCTGTAATATCTAAGAATGTGTTAGAGCGTGGAGACTCGTTTTGTCCATGTTTCTCATATACGATGGTAATATTTCGTTGATCTTTACATCTATAAATCGAAATTTTTTAAGACTTAAGTGTATGCATCTAGAGGTAAGCCGGTTAAATCTAGCGTACAGGCTGAATGCAACACCTCTCCTGCAAAATCTGTGTTATTTAAAAAAACGTTTTCACAGAAATTTGCACAGAAATATTTATAATATCTTAATCGAGAAATGTAAAGTTACATTTTAACAGTGTAAGAGTAGAAAGAGTATTTTTTGTCATTCTAGACCTATGTGGACGCATTAAGAAACCGCTCTACAGGTCCACTTGTAACTACCCAAGCAAAACTTGCCTAGCAAAATATCTAGATGCATTCGCTGGTGCATATGGCGATGCTCTAGCGATACTCGATTCAACTTTTCTCTTTTCCTATGCAGCTAGCTGCATCTATCACTGTATCTAGTGAATCTAGATGCATCGAGCGATGCTACCTGCTTTTTTCGTGCTTTGGTAGTGCACAAAGTATTTTTATCGCCAAGGCATTCAGCAGTGGATAATACGATGATTTTTTTAAAAGTAAACAACAACTTGTATCTTCATCTTTTAAATAACGTATAATCTCTTCCGCGATTACATCCCCTGATACAGCTGAGGGAGATTTTTGTTTTTTAATATCGTTTCCTATGAAATCAAAAAGTGATTTTCTTTTAAGACTACCAGACGCATCACTAGCACCAGACGAAGCTTCACTTGACTCGCGACTGCTCGCGGTTTTTTGTTGATAACTAGTGATGCAGAATGCTGAAAATTTTCTTTTTGTTTCGTTAAATCAAAATAAATTGAAAGAATGGAAGGAGCAACGATTGAGATTTTGCCACTATATCTTCTTTTTGATAACATCTAGACTTTTCTTCTTATTTCACCTACATTTGTCTTTCTGCTTACTTTTTCTGTTTTTCTCTCACTTTCTATTTAAAAAAATCAGTATTTTCAAACAATCAGTCACAGTATAGAAAATCGTCAGTCTCAGTGAAGTCTCTGTCTCGAAAAAAAACAAACATCAGTCGTGACTTAGTCTCAGTTATGACTTCGACTTGCCCATCTCTGTTTGCAAATAACAGAGGGATAGATCTTTTGACATATTTTCAAAGATCTTGTTGACAGATGATTGTATAAAATCTTATAATATCTTACATGACTTTATAGAAATCTTGCCTTATTAGTGAATCAACTAGAAGGTTTCAGGTTTCATAGGCTTGGTTTAGATTGTGAAATGGTTTGTATTACATTACTGATTGAGCTAATGACAACTGTTTGTGTCTCTTTTTTCTCGTTATATCCCGTCCGCTCATCTTATTGTCTAGAACTCACTCATCAACCCTCACCCTCAGGCAATGAGATAGACTAGTTCAGTATGGATGTATTGAATGTTCATCAGGATTACAGGACTGGATCGTTCTGTAGTAGACCCGAACTTGTTTCTTTTGCATTTTTTTCAATGTGAACTGGGAGATCATTGCTGTAGTTCATTGCTTGCTGTTTTCTTGATATCGTTATAGCAAGTAGGATGTATTGATTATATAATTTGATGATGAGCTTTTCATGTTGTAGAAAGATAAAATTGTTTTGAAATAATAAAGGTGAAACAAAATGTATTATAGGAAAACAAGTTTGCAAAAACGATCAAACTCGAAAAAAGACTCGAGTCTGGATTCGGAACACTGGAGTTCGGAATTCGGAAATTTTTTCTCACGAGTTACGTAAGAAAAGATTATCAAAAATGGTTCTCGGTTTAGATATAGGAAGCTTGAACATATCTATCTGAACGATGCTATCTTATAGATCTTATGCGCATTAAATCTTGCAGGTGAGTTGAATTCTTTACATTAAAGTTCTCAAAGTTTTTACCTGACATTGGAAAATCAATGGACTATTGATAAACAAGATCTGCTTTAGAACCGAACATGAAACTGAATATGTTGTATTTATTTGTATTATACAATTTCAAAATATTTATAATATTTGTGATAATAATAGTAAAGAAATTACGCAGTCAGCAGCTATTAAATGTTTTATGTGGTTGTGCACAAAGTCTACGAATAATTGTATTAAAAAACTTTTAGTGATCGATGCATGTGTCTGCGTATGATGCATGCGCCATATGCTGCTAAGTATGAAAGAAAGTAAAGAAAAGACGTAAATGATTTTCTATAATTACTCTATATAATTGTTGACAATCAATAAACTCTTAAGTATTTTTTTGACTCATATTGAGTGTCTTGTCTATACTAAACATAAAATATGTTATGGTTATGTCGATACCAGCGAAAAAATTTAATAATTAATAGTCGAAAATATAAATATAAAAGGATGTTACTGCAATTTTATTTGTTTTCTTAGATACAATCCTTGTTACACACACATTTACTTGTTTTATTAAATATTATACGTATACATAAGAGATTGTGCAAGAACTGTACATTGACCACATATTGGCAGTTAATAGCATTATCGTCTATCAGTGGATAACTGAAAGTGCAAAGGGCTTGTTGAAAAACATGAAACTAATCCAGTTATATAAGCTTATTTCTCATTTTGAGGGATAAAATGTTCTAGGTAAACCATTCATATATAAATCGACGGCAGCTGAAAATGTGTTCTTCGTTTGTTTTTATCGTATATATCCAATGCCGATTTTTACATGATTCTTTTACATAAATGTTTTTCACTTTTACTTTTTACATTTTGTTCTCTCTAAAAATTCAGACAATTTGTATTGTCATCATTTTCTTTTTTTAAATTGTTTGTTTCTATTTAAATTTACAATCATTTTGGTTGTTTTTTAAAATTTTAACGTAGATAGATTAATTATCTTTCATTTTTTCTCTACATCCATTAACTTGTCATTATAGTGATAAAACAAAATGGCAGCCAAGCGAAATGATCTATATAATGAGAAACAATCTTACGTTGTTAGAGATTCTATATGGTACTCTAAATTAAAGCGATAATAATAGAGCTTTATAAGTTTTTATTGCATTGCTTTTATAGGAAAGATCATGTTGGTAAAATTGAAACAGCAGCAAAATTTTACAATAAAAAATGGGGTTTTTTAAATCGTGCAGTTGCACAAGTAAAAGAATAGTTGACAATCACGGTAATCATCATCTAGTTATTCATCATGATTTATTCTATCCCTTTTAGTTTGCTGATCGTGAACCTAATTGTCATTTATCACGTTCAAATCGAAATGTATCAATAATACCATATGGAGTAGACTCAGAGCATTCATCAAAACAACAAGTATATCCATCTCCTGTACCAATTCCTCCCACTACTTCTCGTCAAATTGGTTGGAGAACGGCAGATAAACAATGTAGTTTAGAAATATACGGAAAATATGCGAAAGGACAAGAATCTTTACACAAAAAATTTAAATGGCCCGTTGAGGGCTTCGATTGATTGAAAGCGTATCAGATGAAACTTTTCTGTAATGAATGAATGATTATAACTGGAAGTAACGGCTTTTGTACATTTATATGAAAAAAAAGAAGAGTAAAAAGATACTGCACTGATTATTTCCTGCCGTTGAATATTAATTACTCGCGATGTCTCTTATATTCATAATAGTTATTAAAATACAGAGAGGGAAAAGAGCGGACAAATAGATATAACAATTTTTTTTTCACTAATCAGATGGTGATCACGTTTTAGTATCAAGTTTTTGAACAAAACAGACGACCTTAACATAATGACCTATGGTCAGATCCTCCAGACACGTGAAACAGTAACGAATGTCATTTTTCTTCATTTAGAATGTGTCGGGGTCTTACAAACTTCAAATATCACATTCTGCCATTTTAGTCGGATTGACTCAACTCGCATCTATGATGGTATATTCAGAAAAGTCACTAAATAGTGCAAAATTTTTTCCAACTGGATCTCATCAAAAGAGTTGGCACATCTATTTTCGGTTTAAGATTTAGTTCGAAATATTGTATCTGTATATGTTGTTTCATTTCTAAAAAACATACTTTAAAACCAATAATACTGATTTTAATCAAAAAATATTATTCTATGATAAGAATTTATAACAGTTTTCCATTTAAAAAAGTCTTAAAAAGAATGCCATAATTTCAATAAACACGCGACATAAAGTTTAAGCTCATTCTAATACATAGTGTATTAATTTCTAATATCTCGAATACCAAAATCTGATAGAGATGACGTTTGTCTCATTGTTTAAGAAACGTACAGGTTTCACCACACGATTACATAAAATCCTTATGTTTTTCATGTTCAGTCAGATCAGCCATCTCAAAAATTATTAGATAGAAAAATATTCTATCTACTAAGAACAAAACAACAAAAAGGAAAAATATTCTTTTTTTTTTTTTTTGTTGAACAAAGAGAAAAACCTCCTTTCCTTCTGCTCTGCTCATAGTTGTGTAATCCACATTCTAACTATAGACACTAAAGAATTGATAAAAAAAACATATAATAAAATAGTAGTAGTAGTAGTAGTAGTTAGACGCGTATATTTTATGTAATTCCCATCATCAAAAATTGTTCATAAAATGTATCATGTGCTTTCGTTTGCTCGACAACTTTTTTTTCCCCGTTATTATTATTATTAATATTATACTAAATCAAACATGAGAAGAAGAAAAATAAGTTTTTTAGCCTATTTACATTTTAACAAAAAAAAAAGTCTTATCAATATATGTATATATTGTCATAATCGAAAAAGGAATATAGTCGATTTACACAACATTTTTTAAATGTCTTTAACACATTTTTGTGTCCAACATTCTAGATCGTTAACCATTCTTTTTTTCTCTTTTTATGTAAAGACGACGACGAAGAAGAAATTTCATTTTTATTAGAATAATCGTTGGTATTTCTGCAACAAATAAATGCCTTTTTAAGCTATTTTTGATTGGCATTGATCAGTTCTATAGAACTTCCGTCTTTTGTATCATATATAAAGTTATATTTCTTCCGCCTAGAGTCATAGTAACAAGACAAAAAAGTTGAAAATAAAAAAAATAAAAATTCTTTCTTTATATCTTTTTAGACTAGTATCGGTTGGTTTATTTTTTTTTCCTCTCTCGCGTCCATTAATTATTTTGATTAGTCACTCTGTCAAGGTAGTCTCACATCAACATATTACTTTTACCACGTGAACTTACAACTAAACAACAAAGAAAATGTGAGTCTATCTGTTACTTGTGTCAAATATACGCGTTTTTTCCTTGAAATTTAGGGCCTAGATAAGTATTTGAGAGTTGTAAGAAACTTTAGTGTACTTTCATCGAGCTTCATAACCATGCGTGATAGAAAAAAGCTTAGTTCTGTAATAAATTTGAAAGGATATCACGATCAATGGTTGATAAATAATCTCATCACTTGTCTACAACAAGAAAAAATCTTAAAAGAGCAAACGAAAATATCAGGATAATTTATCGGCTTTGAAAGTTGCTACAGGATTTTGATATAATACTACTACATTCTCAACTGTCCTAGTATATCGTGTTTGCAAATTTCTGCACAAATTTGAAAATTTGTATCGAATCTACATGCAAAACGTACACAAAATTTCTAGTAGAACTTTAGATTCTAAATCTACACAGATTCATTGCAGATTGTTACAAAATATCAACAAATTTATTACATGCTGCAATTTTAACGAAATTATTTGGTAAATATATAGAGAGAGATTTTGTAAATGTGAAATATTCAGATATTTTTCAGATGCTTCTATAATTTGTGTAGCACCTACTGAGATTCTTTAACAATCTCTGACAAATCTATGTAGATTTAGAATCTAGAATTCTGCTATAAATTCTGTCTACATGTTGCGCTGAATCCGCAAGTTTCTGTTGCAGATCTGATTTAGGCTTCATGTAGATTTTTCTTGAAGAAAGTTTCCTGGATATAATTACGATACAATCAAAATAGAGCTGTGCCTAAGATGCTACAAAAAATCTTTAAGGAATTTTGCAGCTCTTCTAATTTTTAAGAAGTTCAGTTCGTGGCGACAAGAAGCTTCATTAAGCTACAAATAAAGAAGGTTTTGTGCGATTTCTCAGAAGCAGGCATTACATATTCTTTGGCGACAGAATTTTTTCCTTTCCTGATCAGCAACTTTGGAAAATCAAAGTAAATTGCTTACAATTTCGCAGTAAACATTAAAAAGGCTGCTTTTTACCTCTGGTATCAGTCCTAAGAGCAGAGTATTTTGTGCCAATTCCAGTACTGAGGGCTAGTCATTCTTGGGTAACTTGCGTATTCCAGAAAGAGAAAAGTTGGAAGTGTATATATGTCGTATTGAAGTTAGCATGTTTATCGCAGTTACAACTTCTATAAACATACTTCATGGAAGTTATAACGTCGATAAGGTGGATTATCGAAGTTGTTTTGATTAAGCTAAACGGTAATTAATTGATTATTTGAATGACATCATCAAAATTATGTTTAAATCTGTTAAAAAGAAAACCGAGATATCCTCATCAATTCTTACAGCTTTTTCTGCTTGCACTACTAGTCGTTAAAAACCCTGTCAAAAAGTGCTTCTCGGTAATTCAACTGGTCGTGTTAAAAATGAATTTGAAAAAGAATTGCGGCGTTTAGGTTGATTTTCTTCTTCTGAATCCTAGCGAATGTACTTAATTCGAGTACTTGATTGCTGAATAAGTACTTGGGAAAATTGCCAAGTATTTTCAGAACTATTTACTTGCCATGAACTGTTTAAAGTACTTCTCTACGACTGGAATATTTGGTTTTATTGCTACGAAATACTTTGTGAAAGTACTTGACAAGTAAGAGTCCTTGTGAAACTAGTCCGAAGCTTCTAAAAAAGCTTGTAAGGTTTTGTAGTTAATTGGCACTAAAATATTTAAGTTGGCTTCTATAAATAATACTCTAAACAATCTCAATACATTTTCTTCATCGAAGTATATTCTTGCGTTGGAAATATGTTTTATTTGTCTTAATTCTTGTTTTATTTTGCCAGAACTGTACCTTACTCTTTGCATTAGAAAATTAGTTGTTCACTCGACACTGAATCAAATTAGATAAAAATTGGGTGCCAGATGCAAAATTTTTCGGTGAATCTGACAATGAGAAAAATAAAATTTCGGTAAAAACAACGTAGATTATGTCGACACTAGAGAAGAGATCAAAATGAAATTAAAAGGAACCCGCTGTCGGATTCACCGAGAAATTTTGCATCTGACACCCGATTTTTATCTAATTTGATTCAGAGTAGAGCGAGCACCTAATTTTTCAATTTTTCCAATCTCTGTTTATCTTACCACGTATTTCTTCCTTATTGACTACTTACAAACAGGCTTTTTCCTTGAAAATAATGTTTAATGCATCAGTAGCTGCTCGGAAAAGACCTGTTGGAACTGCTTATATCATAGCTTTGCTTTAGAAAACGTATTTGCTCTGTGGACTTAGTTTTTCTATATTCAAACGTCAGAATTGATAATATTCTGATTTCTAATCTTTTTTTTCAACGTGGAATAAAACAAGCTCACAAAGCAAATATTAATCGACAATATAGAAATATTTGACTAATATTGACTAGAAACCACTGTTGATACTTGTAATTTTATAAAACAAGTACTTGTGAAGTGAAAAATCAAGCACTTAGAAGTATATTTACTTCTCTAAAAAGAAAGCACGTACCAGTCTCATTACACAAGGAACATGCCTGGACCCGCCAACTACAGTCAGTAGGGGATACTCTAATTAAATATTTTATTCCATGTATTTTGCAGACATATACATGCATAACAAACATGTAGAGATTTTCTTTGGAGTCCCTTTGATTAGTATTCTAGTTGTAAAAATTCGAGATAAAAATAAATCCACGAAATATATACAGATGGAGCTAATGCTCTTTCCGCATTTTGACTGGTTTTATTTCTTTCAATCAAATCCAAGGGAACATAAAACTAAAATTGTCAAACTAACTGTTAAGATTGAAACGATTTTGAAGACATATCAGAGGTATATATAAATGATGATCGATGATTTCAGCAAGACGTTTTGTATTCTCCTGGTATATTTTTGAAAACAGAATTAGGGTGTTGTGTTGTACTTGGGGAAAGAAAAACTAATGAATGACTGAGTGTTAATAAGCTTGTTGACAGCTCAATAGTTAACCTAATTTTTTTTTATTGATCTATTCTTTTATTTGTGAGGACGAATAAAAAAACTTCTAATTTTTAATTTATCATCGAAAAACAAAACGCGAGAGCGTAATAATGATGGGCCTAGAATAGTTTTCATTAGTTTTGAAATCCTTTGGATGGACAAACATTAATATGGACTAAAATTACAGTTTAATCCAAAAAATTTTAATCGACGTACATTCTTAGCATGTACGGATGACTTACTGAAAACATAAAAAATCTCGTGCATTTGTCTTAACCTTGTCGTGTGTAGTACTT